AATTACCATTACTCTTACTAAGAAAGGGCCAACAGGGGTTGAGTCATGTATTGGTAGGCCAAGCCACTATAAGCTGTAACAGTGATTGAGGATTTTAAAATGCCAATTTTTGTCACTGAAGCTTATAATGTAGTTAAGTCAACTAGCATTTCTGTTTCCCTTCCAGCCTGTGACTGTGATCCCAGGGGTATTGAGACACCACAGTGTGACCAGTCCACAGGCCAATGTGTCTGTGTGGAGGGTGTTGAGGGTCCACGTTGTGACAAGTGCACCAGAGGGTACTCGGGGGTCTTCCCTGACTGCACACCCTGCCACCAGTGCTTTGCTCTCTGGGATGTGATCATTGGTGAGCTGACCAACAGGACCCAAAAATTCCTGGAGAAAGCCAAAGCTTTGAAAATCAGTGGTGTCATTGGTCCGTACCGGGAGACCGTGGACTCTGTGGAGAAGAAAGTCAATGAGATAAAAGACATCCTGGCTCAGAGCCCAGCAGCAGAACCATTGAAAAACATTGGCAATCTCTTTGAGGAAGCAGAGTAAGTATCTGATGAGCCAAAAATCACTCATGAAGGTTTTTCAACTTTTGAATTACCCATGATTTACCAGGGTGGTACTTTTCCTAGGTTTTCTTAGTCTGATTACACAGGCTGAGTCCCTTGCTTATCAACAATGTTCACTGTGAGTAGGATAGAGTACTCCACTTTGCTCTATTGCAGCATAACTGGATTTGAGGCAGAAGATCTGTAGACTCTCAGCTTTGTCATGTGTGAAGCTTGTGAACATGGGTGGCATGTTAATTCCTGAGTTTCTCTCTCTCTCCTCTCTCCTCTCTCCTCTCTCCTCTCTCCTCTCTCTCTCTCTCTCTCTCTCTCTCTCTCTCTCTCTCTCTCTCGCCATTGCCCAACAGCGAATACAAGGATCAGTCTATACAATGATAACACACTTACAGAAAAAATATGAACCTAAATTGTCATTTGTCATTTTTAAGTATTGCTACTACTAGGGAACTCCCATCACCACAAATATAAGACCCTTATTTCAAATCATTTTTTTGTTCAGCTGCTGTCTCATGAAAGGCATCACTGATGTAACTATGAAATGCCTACACAAAAACAGCCTCTGAATTGGGCCCTCTCTGGATATTTATTTTCTTTGATTCAGTATTGTTTATTTTTATCAGTTAAAGCAATATGAATTGAGTGGAGATGCCAATCAGGGGTCATGATTCTACCCTGAATCCTAGCCTTTTCCTTGCCCTCAGTATTTCAACTACTGTTGAAAAGGAGCCCCAAAACAGCACACAGTAAGACTTAGGAATTGAAGAACAAAAAAGGAAAATAGAGATGGGTGTGGTGGCACAGGCCTGGAGATCCCAGTACTAGGGAAGCTGGGGCAGAAATTAGAAGGCAGCTTGGGCTATATATTGAGAACAAACTGAGCAGCAACAATGAATGTATTAATACATTCTTTGGGCTGGAGGGGTAGCTCAGCACTAAGAGTACATCAAGCCCTAGGTTTGCTCTCCAGTTCAGTAAAAATATTTGAAATTATTGTTTATTTGTACGTGTGTAGGCATGTGTCTGCCATGGTATACTTATGGAGGTCAGCAGACAACTTATAAAACTCATTTGTTTCCCAAGGTCATCAGGCTTAACAGCAAGTCCCTTTTTACGTGCTGAACCATCTCACCAGCCCTAGATATTATTTTTAATGGCAAGATTTTTGAGACCTGAAAAGAAATGAAAGCCTTTGGAATCAGTCAATTAATAAAAATGAAACACTGGGGAAAATTATCACCAGGAAAGTCATCTTACCAGATCCCATAATCCTTTTCAGTGCTTGTTCATTGTGTTGGGTCATTCATGGTATCCTCTCAACTTAAGGGGCATTAAAAAAAAAAAAACTTATTCATGTATTTGGGAATTCAAGGTATATCCATGCTTTGGAGCACATGTAGAGGTCAAAACTTGGAGGAGCCAGTTCTCTTTCTACCAAATGGGTTCTTGGATGGAACTTGATTTGTCAGGTTAGCAACAAGCTCTCAGCAGTCCCTTAAGTAGCATTCTTTAAAAAAAATACGGTGTGTCGTGTCCCCCCCGACCTCCAAGTTTTTAGCTTTTTTTCAGTGTGTGTGTGTGTGTGTGTGTGTGTTGTGTGTGTGTGTGTGTGTAGACTTGTGCCATGGAACACATGTGGAGGTCAGAAGATACCCAATGGGGCTTCTGGAGATCAAACTGAGGTTGTCAGGCTGGTAAATAGTTTGAGCTACTGAGCCATCCTGTTGGCCTGTTTTTAGTATTTTTACATCTTATAGGATTTGTTGTTGATTTCTTTAAGAGACTGTTCATTAGTCTGTTGCCTAGTGAACTCCAGATTTTTGATCTAGGGTACTTCTCCTCCCTCAGCTCTCAGAGTAGATGAGAAAAGACTTGCCAGGATGGTTGAATGATTTTCTAGAACTTTACAGTGACTATCATATTCCTGGGAAGGTAATTAGATTCTTTCAGATGAGCCAGTAATCCAAATATCAGGTCTTCTTGAACATTCTTTTGTGCTGTATGTACACACAGATATCATATAGTATATATACACAAGTAAAGTCCTAAGGTACAGCTTCAGAAAAATGACACAGAGGGGAGAGAGATGGGTCTTGGATCCAGAGGAAATACTGTCAAGGCTGTGTTTCATTCTCCAGAGAGATGATCACCCCTTTGCAGCTTTTTTTTTTTTTTATGGGTGTTGTTTTGTGGACAGAAGAGACTTCTCTGATGCAACATTGCCTGGAGCACAGAACCTATGAAAAGCTGATTCTGCTGTCTTCATGGTGGGTTGCAGGGCTTTCTCCTATGTTCCATCTTGAAGGAGAGAGCCCTGAGGTGAGGTTCAGAGGAAAGGTTTTTGGCAGGTGAGTGGGAGACATTCTTCTGCATTGAGTCTTGAGTCTGAGGGCTTACAGGGCTTGTAGCCACTTACATTGAGAGCTGGCAGCCTGCACTGACCCTTGCTCATTTTACATCAGAGGCTTGGAACCCACCACCACCACAGAGCTGAGCATTCACTTGTGTTTTTCTTCAAAGTATTTGATGAAAAGGTGTTAGTCAATTGTCTCTTGTAGGAATAAAACTAGGACATAGAGGATTATAACTCTGGGCTTGTCTGAAGATGGAGGGTTGGGGACTGTGCTAGTAGAAGATGTAGTGAGATTTGACAGTTTGGGCCAATTTTAGGTAAGCTTACTTTTCTTACTTTTCTTTTACAGGAAATTAACCACAGATGTTGCAGAAAAGATGGCTCAAGTAGAAATGAAATTATCTGATACAGCTTTACAGAGTAATAGCACAGCTGGAGAGCTAGATGCACTGCAGGCAGAAGCAAAGAGCCTTGACAAGACTGTGAAAGAATTGGCCGAGCAGCTAGAATTCATCAAGAACTCTGATATTCAGGGTGAGGACTTGTGCAGGAATCTCAAACCTGGATAATAAATAATCCTCTTAATACTTCCTTAAAAAAATATTTTTCTAACAGTTTTAAATCTTTTCTATTTGAGTCTTTGGCACAAATAGGGCTTAAAGTTCTTGGTTTTCTAATATGGGGCCTGAAGATAAGACATTGCAGAGGCTCCATTGAATTAAAATGTGTTCCATTTCCCAACTTAACTCCCTACCCTTTCCTTAGACTTGTGAATACTAAAAATATTAAGTTGTTAATTCTGCGAGTCCTTCCACATTTGAGATTACTGCTTGCTTAAGTTATTTTTGAAAATATTTTACTTATTAATATTATGGGCTGTATATGACCCTCCCCAAAAAAGAAAGGTGAAATTTGTTAATGACACAATTCAGAATTATACATTTTGTTTTAGTAGGTCCCCAATGCCAAAATGTACTGTGCTCTTCATGTATATAATAATTATTTGAATGGACCCAAATAGATGAACAAATATAAACAATCATCTGGAGATCTCCAGGCTGCCCAACACCAGGATTTAGATGTTTGCCTGTGTGTAGAAACAACATTTGCATGGTGGCTTAGTTTCTCATTTTCACCCCAGTGTTTGGCAACATCCATATTTTGACCAGGTACTAATGGGATACAAGAGATTCACTGTTCACTGCAGATTTTTTTTTTCTTGACTCCTAAAGCTTTATAGTATAATTCAGAGCCACAAGATACCAAATATGGGCCCTGGTTGGTGAGAAACCAGGGACAAGGAGACTAATTGTAGGCAATTTCATTTCCTGCCCTAGGTGCCTTGGATAGTGTTACCAAGTACTTCCAGATCTCTCTTGAGGCAGAAAAGAGGGTGAATGCTTCCACCACAGACCCCAACAGCACTGTGGAGCAGTCAGCCCTCACCCGAGACAGAGTAGAAGATTTGATGGTGGATCAAGAGTCCCACTTCAAGGAAAAGCAAGAGGAACAGGCACGCCTTCTGGACGAACTGGCAGGCAAACTGCAAAGTCTAGATCTGTCAGCTGCTGCAGAGATGGTGAGGCTTGGGATGTGGTCTCATTTTCTGTGGTCTCATAGGAGACTGAGAAAACAAAAACTTCCTGCCTTGTCTTTGATACTGCATTTGCAAACCTGCAGGGGTGACTCCAGTGCTCAAGGCGCTGGCCTGCAATGTGGGTTAGCCATAATAAGTCATGGGGAACACGAGTACTTGCTTCCAGCCTGTTCCTGCCTCTAACTATTACTACCAAGAGTCAGGACACTCCCCCATCACATGTATCAGCTGAAGGACTTCTTACTGAGACTGGACCCTTTTTATAATGTGGCCTAAAACAAAATTCAACAACAACAACAAAAAACTTGCATGTTTTCCTTTGAACTACACATTTAAGTGGAAGAATTGAGAATTGTTCAGGGACAGACTTAGCCAAGCTTTTCCCATCGGTCTTTGTTCCCAGTAATATTACCTGGTAAAGATTAAAGTCTGAGCTGGCCTAGAAAGTAGATTAATTTCTTAGAAGTTTTTAGAAAGTAACTCTGGAGCCATATGACATTGAGTAGTGAGTTTAATGAAAATCGGGCAGAAAGCCAAGCCAGCTTTTTCCTCCAGTTTCCTTATTGTTTTTCATGGGAGGGAAGCAGAGAACTGAGAGGTAGTTTTATATACATATACCAACATTATTTTCTAGTTTTACTCAGCCTAGACAGAGGAATCTAAGAATCAGGTGGAAAGCCTGCAAAGAGAACACCCATTTATAAGGCCCTGGGCACCCACGCCTACTCACTACCTACTCCCACATTCCTTCCATGACAAAGCAACAACCTAGCAAGCTGAGCTGCTTCTCACTTAGTCAGAACTATGGTATACTGGAGATGGTGACAAACTCTCCTGACCACTCGTAGTTGCCATAGTCCCTCTTGCCCACCACCCATATACAGTCTGAAATAGAAAAAAAAAAAGCATGCCATCTCCTGTATTGTCATCAATTTTATTGATGCCTGCACGGTTTGGTGTTCATTATCTCACGATGCTTTACTACACAAATTTCTTAACATGATTTTGTTATGAAAAGAAAATAAAGGCCTAGCTTCAGCATAACTTATACGTAAGAGTGCACAGCTCTTCACATTTCCACATGAAATGCTAGTTTTCTTCATCTTTCAGGATTCCTTTACAAATCCTAATGAGAAAAAAAAGTTATTTTAAAATCTCTACAAATTGCAGTGAAGTACAGCTAAGCTTGCTAATGGGATTCTGTTTTTTAACCGAGGGCAACTTAAGAGTGGGCATTATGAGTACGTAGGTGTGGAGGGATGGCTCTCCCCTTACATATGAGCACCCTCTCTGTGCAGGCTTTTCTGGTAAGGCACAGCTTGTTTTCTTACTGTTCTTGTTGTATCCTGTGAGAGATTTCTGTGGGCTCTGTACCGCCATTCTCTTGTGACGAATCTTTCCCTCTTTGTGTCCCTCGAGTACTTCTCATTCTTCATAGAGAAAGGCTCAGCCATGCTGGTTTTTATCCATGCTCATGTTTGTTAAAGCCAGCCTGTTTTTAGAAAACATTTATAAGGCTCTACGTTCGAGTCTTGAGTAGGACTCATTTTTTTCCATAGCACATAGAATACAATTATTCTAAAGTGCTTTATGGGCTATAAACCAGATATGTGAAAGATCCTTATTTTAGTTACTAACATATATGGGATTGTAGTTATTTTACAATTATTCTGGCAAAGAATTCACAGTATTTCTACTAAAAACATTGTATCTTTAAAACAATTCTTTCCTGTTTGTGGGTATTCTGGTAACTGCTTCCCATTGCAGTAATCCCTGCCTCTGTTCAGTACGATTTCCATAAAAGTGCTAAATATAGCTTTCTTCCTGCACAACCCTTCCCTATCATACAGCATACTTGGAGTTTCTGTTTGCATCTGTGTGCCATAACCATGTGATGGTCATTAATTTTCTGGCAGAGGAAAAAGGACTGGGTGCCTGATGGGTGGGGTGGTCAACGGAGCTTTGAAGAGCTGCATCCACCTTTAGTCATACGGTTGTCATTCCCTTCTGAAATGTTCTAGCACTTTGCTTACTCAAATCCCACCCTCCTGCTTCCCTGTCTACATTAAATCCTCAGCACTGTCCTTTGGCACTTTGCTCACATCTCTTCTGTTCTCAATGATGCAAGTTACATATCAAAGTTATGTGCCAGATATCAGACCATATTCACCAGAGCACTAGATGCTGGGCTTAACCAAGTTCCAGGGTACTTCCCATCCCAGTCTAACTCAGTTCTGACTCTCACATTGACAGAACTTGATAAAGCAGATAATGCTTGTCACCCAGCATGGCTCATATGCTATCCTTCTGCATTTGGGTAGAAGGCATGGAGATGAGTCAAGTTCAGTGGAAGCGCTGGCTGTCTCCTGCATCTCTGAATACTGTTTGAGTATCCTTGCTGAGGACACCTGTGTTCTCTGGGCCACCCAGCTGTTCTCTTGCTGGCTTACCCTGAACCCCTGTGCCTGACCCTTGGCTTATTGCAGACCTGTGGAACGCCTCCAGGGGCTGACTGTTCTGAAAGTAAATGTGGCGGCCCCAACTGCAGAACTGATGAAGGACAGAAGAAGTGTGGGGGCCCTGGCTGTGGTGGTCTGGTCACTGTGGCCCATAGCGCTTGGCAGAAAGCCATGGATTTTGACCGTGATGTTCTGAGTGCTCTGGCTGAAGTGGAACAGCTCTCCAAGATGGTAAGTCATTGGATGGATTCAGGCTTTCTTGTTTATTGGCTTGCAGTTGTAGGAAGGATCTGAAGTTAGTTATATATGCTGACCAAATTCACTGTCCATTGTGAAAGCTGATGGACAAAATGTGTAGTCAAAAAGGTGGCAGTGAGATTCTTATTTACTTTCTCTTCATGGGAATAACATGTATGTTAGGAGAAAGCAGAATAAATTTTAGATTAACAATTTGAGAAAACATGTTATTGTTGTACCACACAAAATTGGGCATTGTTCTAAAGTGACACACACTCTTCTTAGATCAATAGGTGTTTTAGAGGAGCCAAAACAGCTTTGGAACATTTCAAATGCTAGCCCTAAGAATATGGAACAGGAATTTCAGTACCTGTATTTGAGTGCTTTTAGTCTACATTAAAGTACAATACTTTGTTTAAACAGAGGAATTTGTTTCTGTGCTTATCAACAATACTTTTTCTAGTTTGACATTCTGGCCTGCTTTAGAGAGAGCAAGATGGTTTCATAGATGGCTTATTCTTCATGTTTAGGTCTCTGAAGCAAAAGTGAGAGCAGATGAAGCTAAGCAGAGCGCTCAGGATGTCCTGTTGAAAACAAATGCTACCAAAGAAAAAGTGGACAAGAGCAATGATGACCTGAGGAACCTCATCAAGCAGATCAGAGACTTTCTGACGGGCAAGTCGTGTTTCTGTTTTACTTCCACTTTCAGATATTTGTTCCTGTAAGGTTCTGTTTGAGAGGCAAGAATTCCTATCTGCATTTTAATTCAAGTAACAGAAAATATCCCGGTTAAGAAATATCTTTTTCAAGCAAGGCGGTGGTGATGCACACCTTTAATCTCAGCACTTGGGAGGCAGAAGCAGGTGGATCTCTGTGAATTTGAGGACAGCCTGGTCTACAGAATGAGATCCAGGACAGCCAGGGATACACAGAGAAACCCTGACTCAAAAAACAAAAAAGAAATAAATCCTTTTTCAAGCTGAACATGTAGGTACAGGTCTGAAATCCCAGTACCTGAAAGGTGGAAGCAGGAAACAGGCATCAGTATCACCCATGACTACATAGAAAAACTACAGGAGTCCCAGCCTGCCTTTAAAAGAGGCGGGGGAGCATTTTAAAACAATTGTATGTATGTACATATGTGTACAAAGGTGCCCATGGAGGCCAGAAGGGGATATCAGCTCCCCTATAGCTGGGATTACAGGCATTTGCAAGCCCCCAAGTGAATGCTCCTCCAAACTCTGGTACTTTAATAGGGCAGTAACCATTCTTGGCGCTAAGCCTTCACTGCAGGCTTCCTTTTCTTGGAGTATATGTTGTAAATAACCTTCCCAAGTGTTCTGCAGACACTGCCACACTTGCTGGGACTCCCAAGTAGCATTTCTATCATTAGGACCTTGAAGGAGTTATTTGGCAATGCCCCCAAGCCTTCGTCATCTGTGTCCAGAACCTAGCATTTAATGTTTTCTGTGGAGAAAGAATCTCTAGAATCTGGTCCAAATCTTAAATTTTGATTAGAGTTCACATGCTATCAACATAGATGTTACTGGGTTGCAAGAAAACTCCTAATTGAATCAGAATTTAATCAAGAAGGGTATTTATGATCTCACATAACAGTTCAAAAATAGTGTAACTTCATGGGTCTGAGACTCACTTACTTTGCCTTTTCTCTTCTGCCATTTTAAGCTAATTAACTTCATTCTTGAGATGGCCCCATCATTACAAGTTGTAGTCTGACATGAAGACACTGGCTGATGGAAGAGGACCCCTCCCTACTCCTTTACTATACCCTTTTAGGAGGGAAGAAACCTTGAAGTATTCCCTTGCATCTCTGGCCAGAAATTAGCCATGGCCCATACACAGATGCCACTGGAAGTGGAGTGTGCCTATAAAAATTGGCAGACTAACGAGGATTTAGTGCTCACTTGATCCTCTGCCTGATTTTCAGATGGGGTGGGGAGCAATATCCTGTTAACAGAAAGGAGAAATGACTAATAAAAACTGCTTTCCAATGACAACTGGAAACACAATGTGGAAGCTATGACTCAACTATGTATTTTTTTCCCTGTTTAAGTCCTTTGGGGTTCATATTTATGTTCTTAAGAGTCAAAAAATGAAAACAGATCTGACCTATTTAATTAAAGCTTAGCAACACGTAAGAAACTCCAGTGTTTTGCTAAAGATACACTGCCTTGATTCTTATACTCAATCCCTTCTAGAATTTCCAAAATTTAGGTAACTGATAAAGAATGTCATTTTTTTTTCTTTTTGAGATAAGGTCTCAACACAGTCCTAGCTATCCCCACTCACTATGTAGACCAGGCTAGCCTTGAACTCAGCCCTGCCTCCTAAGGGTTGGGACACAGAATATACCAACCTCACGTTAAGTGTAAAGGTTTTTGTTGCCTTGCAGCCCCAGCTTTAAATGATGTCCTCGATCTTCCATAACCTGAAGCCACAGTTAAACACAACAATGCTCTGTCTGCCCATTCTCACCAGCCCAAAATGTCCTTCAAAACCTGCTTGGTTCTTCATCTTCCATGACCTCTCCAGCCTACAGCAGTTCTCCATGTGAGAGGCTTGTCTCTGAAATAGGGTGTGTCTCTTGTAATCTTGAAGTGGCAGATACATGATGTGTGGCAGAGTGAACCAGCTCTTAATTTTCTGTCTTTGCTTTTCAGAGGATAGTGCTGATCTGGACAGTATTGAAGCAGTTGCTAATGAAGTACTGAAAATGGAAATGCCTAGCACTCCACAGCAGTTACAGAATCTGACAGAAGACATCCGGGAACGAGTTGAAACTCTTTCTCAAGTAGAAGTTATTTTGCAGCAGAGTGCTGCTGACATTGCCAGAGCTGAGATGTTGCTGGAAGAAGCAAAAAGAGCAAGGTATCTGAAGACACACTGGCAGTCCGGGTGGGTGGGTGGGTGTCATCTGCTCTAACTAGCAAGCTATAAAAGAGGACTTCTTTAACTAATGAAGGGTCTCGTGTTAAAAAGCAGTGTTTGTTGTTCTGCTCAGCAAAAGTGCAACAGATGTTAAAGTCACTGCAGACATGGTGAAGGAAGCGTTAGAAGAAGCAGAAAAGGCCCAGATTGCAGCAGAGGCAGCAATCAAACAAGCCGATGAGGATATCCAGGGAACCCAAAATCTGCTAACATCGGTAAGGTATTAGAGCTGGACTATATGGGGAAACACATAACTGTTTCTTAGGGACAAGAATTCTTGTAACACTAGAAATTATTCCTTTTTAAAAAATGTGAACTATTTCTTAGTGGGAAATGTTTATATGGGGAAAAATAAAAGGACTCTGAAGACATTGAGCCATTAAATTCTTTTATTTTTCCCTCCTCTAAAGTGAAAGTTTGTCAGAAACTAAGCACATTGCTTAAAATTTTTAACTATTATTAATTTTAATTATTATTTACAATTTTTTCCAAGTTAATGGTACACTTACAAGGTTGAAAATCTTGTGTTTGATTTGCAAATTGTGACCTGTTTCTCTACTAACTAAAGTTACTTTGTTACACATTTTGATTTCAGTTAGTTTTATGGAACATACTAAGGACCAGGCTACTTACTCTGGTTAGCTTTTGAAAGACAAGTATTTGTCCTTCCAATGAGATCAATTTAGACCCTAACCAGCTGCTCAGGTATCTTTTCCTCTGGGGTAACTCAGTATTTCTAGTATCCCTTGTCTCTGTGTCTTCAGTTACTAGCTAACTCCCCTCAACTACTGAGTTTAACACTGAGCTGACAGGAATTTCTAAACAGATGACTGGAAGTTATCATTTCCCTTTCACGATAATTTATAGTTTTCATTGGAAATCCTTCTCACAGTTGCTTGTTTGTGAATGTTCTTTAGCCAAACACATCAGCCTGCCTGAAGGAGGTTCTTAATATCAAGAAAAAATTCTGCCTTAATCGCTTAGATCAGCAAATATTGCTTTTTAATGATACATGACACAGCAATGACTGAAGCTGGGCACTTTATCTAGGCCAGTGGTTCTCAACCTTCCTAATGCTGTAACCCTTTTAATACAGTTCCTCATGTTGCGGTGACCAACCATAAATTTCATTGCTACTTCAAAATTGTAATTTTGCTATTGTTATGTATTGTAATATAAATATGTGTTATGTAGGCTATCTGACACGTAACCCTCAAAGGACTCTCAACCTACAGGCTGAGACTCCCTGATCTAAGCTGTCTTAAAACTGTCAATGCTTGTGGTCTAGTACAAACTAGTATAGCAGCCTCACCTCCCCTTAACTTGCATTAATGGAGTCTGATGATGAACATTACTCCTTTAGATTGAATCTGAAACTGCAGCTTCTGAGGAAACCCTGACCAATGCCTCCCAACGCATCAGCAAGCTTGAGAGAAATGTGGAAGAGCTTAAGCGTAAAGCTGCCCAGAATTCTGGGGAGGCGGAATATATTGAAAAAGTAGTATATAGTGTAAAACAAAGTGCAGATGATGTTAAGAAGGTAAGTTTTTGTAACTTCATAGCTAGGTTGATAAATAGGCAACTAATCTTTCACTTTGCCTTCCTTGACATTAATAAGATACAAACACTCCGGTGACCAATTTTAAAACATCTTTAGAGATACATGAAAAATAATGAATTACGGAATCCAACTGTAAACTTAGGACCTCAGATCTCAACTTGGAAATGGAATTAATGATCTAGGGTGGTAGTCTAAAAGCATACACACTAGACTGGTATTTCTATGCTGTAGTTCACAGAGAAAGGTCTTTACGACATAGCAGTTAGCTGGCCACTTGAAAATAAGTTAAAGACAGAATGGGGAAAGCTTAATGTTTGTATGGGAAAAAAATAAAGGAGCAAAAAGGAAATCAAACCTCACTTCTTTCTAGACTTGTTTTGAATTTGCTACCTTTTGCTTCTTATTTGGAAGGCACTATATTTAGCAGATTTCTCTTTTACATGCACATTTCATTTCTAAATTTACCTCCAAAGACAGCTTTTTAAACTTGGGAATGGAGTCAGGATTGTTAAAATTACTATATAACCTAATTCTGATTTCTTATTGAAAAACTGTTACTGGAGCTTTTCAATATTACAAAAAAGTAATTTCACTGCACCTGAGTTGGGAAGAGAAGCAAACCCTAAGGAAAATTACTCGCCAGTGTCAGACAATTCTTCCCTGTTATTCCTATTTACCTGTAGTTCTGAAGGCACAAATCTCCCAAATAAATTCATGAGGCATTGAAAGAAAAATACTATTGAAATTTTTTTAAATTTATTTAATGTATACAGTGCTCTGTCTGCATGTATGCCTGCAGGCCAGAAGAGGGCACCAGATCTCATTATAGATGGTTGTGAACCACCATGTGGTTGCTGGGCACTCAACTCAGACCTCTGGAAGAGCAGCCAGTGCTCTTAAGCGCTGCGCCATCTCTCCAGCCCCTATTGAAATTTTTTAAAGCTCTAGGAATGAATTTCCATAATTACTGTTTGTACCTACTGACCCAAACCTTGTATTTTCTATTTTTTTTTGGGGGGGGGGGCGGTTGTTATTTTTGACAGTCTCACTATGTCCAGGCTGGCCTCAAACTCAGATCTACCTCCTACTCCTCCAGAGAGCCTGGATTAAAGATGTGCACCACCACAAGCTCAACCTCTTCCTTCCTAAACCTTTGTGTTCCTTCTGGTTTCCTGATGTTCAGTGTACTTTTGTATAGCTTGTTGTGCTTATTTTCTATAGTAAGTGCTTATTCAAGTAAACAGGGTTAAGCCCCCACAGTAGTTGACTTACAATTCCAAATTTTCTTTGCAATGTTTTTAAAACTTACAATTTAGGGCCGGGTGGTGGTGGCGCACGCCTTTAATCCCAGCACTGGGGAGGGAGAGCCAGGTGGATCATTGTGAGTTCGAGGCCAGCCTGGACTACCAAGTGAGTTCCAGGAAAGGCGCAAAAGCCTTTGCAACAGAGAAACCCTGTCTCGAAGAAAAAACAAAACAAAAAAAAACAAAAAACTTACAACTTAGTATGAAGCCTGAGTACTTTGATGACAATGTCTTTGATCTAATGCTCTTGGATTTAATTACTGACATTACCATTTTCACCTCTTTCTGTCTTAATGTGGAACTGCAGACTCTAGATGGTGAACTTGATGAAAAGTATAAGAAGGTAGAAAGTTTAATTGCCAAAAAAACTGAAGAGTCAGCAGATGCCAGGAGGAAAGCTGAGCTGCTACAAAATGAAGCAAAAACACTCTTGGCTCAAGCCAACAGCAAGCTTCAGCTGCTGGAAGGTGGGTGTTTTCTTCTGGTTTATTGTTTTTTTTTTTTATAAAGGTGAAAAATCTATTCACTTTGTGTTAGATTTTCAGTGGTCTTACATTAACTTTAAGATCTTATGCTATAAACAGTTCACACTTAACCTTATTTTTATCTCCACAGCCTTAGAAAGGAAATATGAAGACAATCAAAAATACTTAGAAGACAAAGCTCAAGAATTAGTACGACTGGAAGGAGAGGTGCGTTCACTCCTTAAGGACATAAGTGAAAAGGTTGCTGTTTACAGCACCTGCTTATAACAGGGAAAAGGTTATAAGGAGGCTGCAGTGACCAAAGTAACTGACTACATGTGAACACTGATGCGGTCATCTTCAGAGTAACTCATTACCTATTTAACGTTTTTATCCACCCACTTTTGTATGGAGTTAAATAAAATACATTGGTTTTGTATAAATATATTTACTATAATTCTTGTTTCTTTTATCGATTTGGTTGTTGTGAATCCTACCAAGAATGTTACTTTCTCTGTAAAGATGGGTTTGTCAAGTACTTTCCTACCTTTAAGAAGACACACAATCTAATAGTATTCGCCCCATTTGCTAGGTCAACATCTGTCTTCAAAACTTTATTCCTTTTAAATCCCCCAGTGGAGAAACCTGAGTGGAAGTTCAACAGGAAGGATATAGAGTAGCTTATTCCATTTTACTGGTTTCTTTGTTGCTCCAACCATTCTAAACATCAGAAGGAGGAACTCTGGCTTCTATGTCTTACCACTTAGAATAGGGCCAGGGTTACTGATGGTCAGGACTTTGGTGATTTAGGCCAGTGTATGGAAACCATTCGTGGTAATGGAGCAAAGCTACTCAAACACACAACTTACACTCTTAGCTTCTATATTATACTTTATATAACTGCACAATCAAATATTCTAAACAAGCACTTAGTCCAGCGCATAAAGAAAATCATTAGCATATAATAGATAGGTTGTGTCAACTACATAGTAGCTGATAGAGTGGCTAACAGCCCAGCCTTCTGTTCTTCACACATTCTTCTTAGACCCCCATATCTAATGCAGGTGCAAATAAAGCTGGGCCTGGATAAAGGGTTATATAAGCAGCTATAATTTAAACGAAGCAACTTCCTTCTAGTCTAAGACAACTGATTGTCTCTAAAGAAGAATCCTAGTAAATACCAAAACAACCACACTTTACCATGTCTGGTTCATCTATTAAAAAAATTCACACACACTACTCCCTATGTCTTTTCCACCAAAAGCCATTACTTTTATATACTAAGTCAGCTCAGTGAATAGGACTGTTCCTATAAGACCCCAAACACTGAGAGTTTATCAGTGTATGGATACTGATAAAAGCAAGGAGACTTGTAAAGCTTGTTTTATGCCTAGGCCTTTAATTCACCCAGATTATACTTACATTCTCATACTGAATGAGCATCCTTCAGTTAGACAACTTTTATTTTTGTGTATCTGCATAGCTAGGAAATCATATTGAATTGTTGTACTATTTCCAAATTAGAAAATTCCAAGAGAGGAGGGGACATGTTTGAGATTTAAATAAACCATCACCCAACCTAAAATTGACATTTTAGATTTTAAAAACACAACGACTTCACTCCTGTAGTGACACATTGGCACATATGGCACCAACCCTCCGATAACTGCTAATTCTGAACAAAAAAATGTAAAGGCACTGCAAAGCAAACACTGAGGAACAGTACAACAGAATGTCTTGGTTTCTAAAGAAGCTTTCACTTGGAAAATTTAACTGCATGATTAAAGAAAAAAATGTATTTATAGAGAGGTTTGTGAGTGAATCCAACCTTGGCAATGTACAGTAATTACCCTAACAGTCCTAAAACCACTGGACACTTAGAAAAAAAAAAAGGGTGCAATTAGAGCCTGGAAACTAGTGAAAGCTTTCCTTTGAACTACAATTCTACCAGGCGGTAGTGGTGCACACCTTTAACCCAGCACTCAAGAGGCAAAGGCAGGCAGATCTCTGTGAGTTCAAGGCCAGCCTGGTCTACAGAGTGAGTTCAGGACAGCCAGGGGTACACAGAGAAACCCTGTCTTGAAAAACCCAAAAAGGAAAAGGGGGGTGGGTGGGGGGAGTGAGAGGAAGACTACAGTTCCACTGTGCAACAATATTAAAGCATCATTAAAGGTCATTGCCCTTTCATTTTACACATAATTACTCAATGTTTAGCTTACACATTACACAATATTGTTAGAATCAATATCATTCCAACTTTGCTTAAAACTATATCCTTCACATTGCAGCCAAGTGAATATCTTGTTTGTATATTTTGAAGTAGTTTTCAATTTTCTTTTTAGAAAACTATACTATCAAATTTAGGAGCTACTCAATAAATCTGAAATGTCAAGTTTAGATGTAATATATAAAGTGGTATTTAGTGTTTAGTTGGTGGCCTTTCTTTCAATCATTTTAACACTTTGCCATTTAGTAACTATCAGTAAATACGATTTTGTAGCACTTTTTTTTCTTTTTCTTTTTGAGAAAAGACTTCTCTGTGTATTCCTAACTGTCCAGGAAATTGCTCTATAGACCAGGCTGGCCTCGAACTCAGAGATCTACCTGCCTCTGCCTCTGCCTCCTGAGTACTGGAACTAAAGGCATGCGCTATCACTGATCTTTAAAAATGACCATTTACTACGATTAAAAAAGGAAAAAACCTTACAAAGGCCATTTACATTTCTAGGATCCCTTATGTTGTTTCTCCTAAAGTGCACGCTAAACATTTAGGAGTTATTTGTAAAACAAATTAAAGGGTAATGACTGCTCAAATATCTTCAAATCATATAATGTGAAAATGTTCAGTGCTATAAAGTGATAAAGAATAAAAAATAAAAAGGCAGTTAAAAGGCTTAGACCCATCTTAATATGCACTCAGAATAACCAATAAATAAATATTTAAGACATGTTTATTTTGGTATCTTCATTCCCTGGTATAATCGTGAGTCTCCATTTAATAGTTTTGTAGACAGAATCTTCCATTTGAGCAACTGAATGCCCTTTAGACTTACAGACCTTACTACAACCTCAATGTTTAAATACGTAATTCTACTTCTAAACTGCCAAGAATTTGGGAGTTAAATAAAATGAGAGACAATCACTTTATTTACATAAGTTGTTTGTACATATTTGAATCTTGTTCTAGTCACTGACTCGTTTCCAATATGAAAACCAAATTTAACTTCGTCAGTTTTCTTCAAGATGTTCACATGAATTCTCCAGCTCCTTCCTTGTGAACAAATTCACCTCCACTGAATTAGAGATAAAATCCATTAATACCAATACAGTGAAGTCGAATTTCACAGACAGCATGAAAACACAGGTCTAAAACTTTCCAGGATGCTACTATATGTAGCTTTCTGTCCACATTAATGCATTGGAACAAAACAAATACAGGTACAAGGTTATACCATTCTATTTAAACCTACTAAATACCTTCCAGAAGTTTCATAATTTCATCCATCCTACAAAATTCTTGAACTGGGAGATTATCCTGTTCAAAAATGTAACCTTGACAAAAGCTTCCAGATTTTAGGAAAAACAATCTTCTAATTAAAAGTTGATTGGTTTGCCAAAAGATGCAGCCAGGTTTGCTTCTCTAAAAGCCTCTGATAAGGTCTGCAAGGGAAGCAGTGGACAATTAAACATGAAATAGTGTGAGTCAAAAGAAAACTTGAGTAGCTACTAAGCCTATGCACGTTAGTAATAATTACCGGATGTGCGTGGCAGACTCGAGCTATATCTTCACAGGAAGCTCCGTATTCCAGAGCCAGGGCAGCTTCATTCACCATTTCTCCAGCACCCTTTAAAATTAAAAAGTAATTATGTTTCCAAGGCAAAAATAACTAATGCCATAATTAACAAATCAAGCTTTTAGACTTTCAGACCTTATATTTTCTTAAAACCTTTGCCTTTTATTACAGCCATTGGAGAAAAGTCAGACAAGAAAAGCTTAGGAGGAAATGTAACAGAGGAGGAGCTTGGGCTTTGACGCCAAATGGGTTAAGTCCTGCCACTTCGCTATTTTTATGATTCATGCAAATGTTTTGCAACTCTCCCATAATACTGTAAAAGTGAAATATGAACAATGAGTTTATAAGTTTTGAGAAGTGGCATAGCAAATATTGTTAACTTTACTGTTCTGCCACATACCAGGGGAACATACACTTCAGATTCACTGAAATCTAAGCCTTCCCTCAGGAGGTATCTAGGCTAAGAACACACAAAAGTCTGAAAGCAGAGTGCTCTACACCAAGGGTATAACATGCATATATAAGGGCTCCAAACTGCAAACCAAGCTTCGCCTGCTATGAAAAGGAAAAAGGTTCACCTTTTTACATGGTAAGAAATTAAAGAGCTGGAGAGAAGGTTTATCAGTTAAGTACTGGCTGCTCTTGCAGAGGACCCAGGTTCAATTCTCAGCACCCACATGGTGGCTCACAACTCCAGTTCCAGTAGATCCAATGCCCTCTCTTACCCTGAGTGGGCACTGCATTAATGTAGTACACAGACATGCATGCAGGCAAACACCCATACACATAAAATAAAAATAAAGTTTAAAAAAGAAATGAATGAAACATAAGGTCAGAACGGAGAATGGGGAAGGCAGAGCAGAGTACAACCAGAATCAGTGAGGCCTCATCCTTACAGTCTGAGGTTGTGAAGCATCACTGGTGGGTTTTAGTCAGTATAGAAGTAGATGATATCGTAGGCACGACGATGCAAGTGCTGTTGTGGTACCTTGCTAAAAGCAAACTTTCACTAGTCAAATTTTCACTGGTAATAATTAGCAACAGCAGAATAGAAACAGCAAGTGTACTAAATTCTGCCTGTTAAATGATTCCCAGAAATCTTACTGGGATTTCTCTGACTTTGCAAGACTTACTGGTCCCAGAATATGTGCTCCCAGTATTCTATCTGTTGATTTCTGTCCAAGAATCTTCACCATGCCATCTGTGTCAGCATTTGTTTTGGCTCTACTGTTTGCAGCAAATGGGAATTTACCAATTTTGTACTCAATACCCTGTGGAGAACAAAAAATGAGAACATACATTAAGCACTGTAAAAGTTGGTTTCCATTAGTGAAATCATCTACCAATTGTTAAGCAAATAAGTTCCAAGAAAGCAATTCTTCAGGGCACACAGAATGACCAAAGGAAGGTTAGTGAAATTTAATGTGGGAAGAAATGTAAGCAAGTATAAATGCTATTTGGCTGTATCCCAAAGCCAAATATTAAAAAATTCTGCAACCATGCTTTAATCCCAGCATTCGGGAGGCAGAGGTAGACAGATCTCTGTGAGTTCCTGGACAGCCAGGGCTACACAAACCCTGTCTCAAAAAAATAAAAAGGCTCTGCAATTTGCAGTTTTTGAGTACAAGTGGCTTATCATCTTCTCTACTATTGCTGACAGATCAAAGGAGTAAATATCTCCTTATAATTCTAATAAACAAATACATCAAATATAATGTTCTACAGTTACTAAAGGCAAAGATGTGGGGATTTTTTTTTTTTTTTTTTTTTGGTGGTGGTTGTTGTTTTTTTGAGATAGGGTTTCTCTATGTAGCTCTGGCTTTCCTAGAACTCGCTCTGTAGACTAGGCTGGCCTCGAACTCACAGAGATTTGCCTGTCTCTGACTCCTGAGTGCTGGGATTAAAGGTGTGTGCCACCACTCCCAGCAAGATGTGTTTTCTAGTCACTGGTACCATTAGTTCAAATCCCACACTTAGGATTACCTCTTCTTTCAATTGCTCTTCTGATTTGCCAACCCAAGCAACCTCAGGGTGTGTGTAAATCACTGATGGCACACAATTATAGTCAATGTGCACAGCACCGCCAGCCATTCCTTCAACACAAATGATGCCTTCATCTTCTGCTTTGTGAGCCAACATTGGACCAGCAACCACATCCCCAATAGCATAAATACTATCAGAAAAAAATAAACACAGTAAATGTCTAAAATCTAAAGAGGTTAGTTTTAACATAGAAACATACTTCTGGCTAATAAGTCACCAAAAAGACAATCCAATGCAGCTCTTCAAAAACCAGAGCTAAGTAACTAATCCTTGAGCCATGAAAAATTCAACTAGTTACATTTTTAAGCTTTATTTTCAAAACAGTATTTGAAATAAATTTAAAATTATTGAAAATGCCCAATACTTGAGAGCCTAAGAAAGAAAGAAGAATCATCTGAGTCTAGTTCAAGACTAGCCTGGACCAAAGAGCAAAATTTCATCTCTAAATAATATAAACAGACAGTTGAAATGTAAATAAAACATTTTCAATTAAAAATATTAGTAATTGGGCTGGAGAGATGGCTTAGTTAGTCTTCCAGAGGACCAGGGTTCAATTCACAGCACCCACATGGCAGCTCACAGCTGTCTGTTAACTCCCAATTCTAGGGTACCTGATACCTCATGCAGGCAAAACTCCAATGTACATTAAAAAAATAAATAAATATAAGTATTAGTAATTGGGGCTGGAGAGATGGCTCAATGGTTAACCGGCTGCTCTGGCAGAGGACCTGGGTTCAATTCACAGCACCCCACAGTGGCTCACAACTGCCTGTAACTCCTGCTTCAGGGGATTTGATGCCCTCTTCTGACCTCCACAGGGACCAGGCACATACATGGCAAACTGACATACATGTGTAAAACATTCATACAATAAAAATAAAGATCTAAATTATTAGTAATTGAAGTATTTAAACTTGGTAAAATTATTAGGGTAGAAATGCTACGTATTCCTTTAGAACACGCCTCATTATGTGTCATTTTTTATCTTTATAAAGAACCAAAAATATTATCATGCATATAACATTTTTAAAAAGAAAACAGATAATTATTCAACTTACTTTGGAATTTTAGTTTGGAATCTGGTATTGACTGGAATTCTACCTCTGGGATCTAGTTCAATTCCAAGTTCCTCTAGTCCCAAATTCTGAGTAAAGGGCCGTCGACCGATGCAAACCAAGAGTACATCACAAGTGATAACTTCAGCTTTACCACCAGAAGCAGCTTCAACACTAAATAACAAACAGTGGTAACTGTTAACACGTACCTACATTGACAGCTGATTATAAACATGAGTAATTATAAACTATAAATTATAAACATGAGTTATGTACTCAAACATACAAATTCTTAAAAGTTTATTCTTAAAAAGCTTATAAAAACCAGGCAGTGTTACACAGTGGTAAGAACATAGGTCTCATGGCTGAGGATATAGCTTAATGGTAGAATAAGTAAGCATGAATGATGTCTTGGGGTTTGATCCCCAGCAATGTAAAAAACATAAAAGATAGGCTGGGCCGTGATAGTGTACTCTTTAATCTCAGTACTTGGGAGGCAGAGCCAGGAGGATGTCTGAGTTCCAGGACAGCCAGAGTTACACAGAGAAACCCTGTCTTAAACGCCCCCACCCTGCCCCTCAAAAAAGTATCTTAGAAAGGTTCATGTTCAAGTATTGATTGGCTCCATCTATCACCAACCGTGTGACTGTGAAGAAGTTATTTTGTTGAATTAGGTAAGTATTCAATGAGTGCCAGATACATGCTATCAATTTAAGTAATACTATCATCAAATCCCCCATGCATCTGTCTAAAAGTGCTGCATGTATTTTACTAAACATAAGGGGCTTTTCATTTATGAATATATACAGTGAAAAATATATCACAATGAGACTATCTGATTAGGGTTTTTTAGCATCAAAATAACTGGATAATTTGATAGGTAATACTGTATAATAAAAAAACAATAAGATGGGTCTAAGTTATAAAGTCTAGACTACATTTGTTAATCTGAAAACTTGAGTGCTTTTTTTGAGACAAGCTAGAATGATTTGTCAAAAACAAATGTAGCATACTTACGACACATCAATTTTTCCATCTGACTTCTTGGTGGCACCAGTAACTTTTGTATTCAGTTTAAATTTAAACCCTTGCTTTTGAAGTATGCGTTGAAAATTTTTAGATATCTCCATATCAATTCCAATTCCACCCACGTGACCCAAAAATTCAACTGCTGTCACATCTGCACCAAGTCTTTGCCAAACTGAACCCTGAAATTAATTTTTAAGAAAAATCATATAAAAATAAGTTTCCACAGCACCATTTACTAATTATCTCAAATAATTTATTGTAGTGTCTTTTTCTAATGTTCAGGGGAAGCTCTAGGAAAACAGATAATTTTATCTACTTATTCACCTATTCCACATTTACTGGGAACCTACTTACTACAGGCCAGGTACCATTATAGCTGCTAGGCATGTTACTAAACAACAAAACTTGGTGTTTCTGGGGACTTTACAATATGGTAGAGGAAGTCAACAAATAAGTAAAACTCATGCTAGAGGATAATAAAAGTGCTATGAGAAAAGAGAAGACAGAGCCAGGGCCATTTTAGATAGCATGATTACAGTTGCTTCAGTTTGAGTAACATTTACAGAAGGAAATAAACTACAGCAATGACTGAGAGAAGAGTGTTCAGGGTAGAGGAGAAAAGTAAATACAAGAGTCCTGAGATTAAGTATGATGTTGACCTCACTGGTTTCAGCTAAAGTTGTAAATCCAGGATAGGGTGCAGTCCTGAACCTGGATTAATGAATCTCTCAGCCTTCATCACAGCAGCTTCTTTGTGTAGGAGATGGTGATTAATACAGAAATACACAAATGGTCACTGTGCAGAAAAATGAGAGGCTATGGAGTACTCAGCTCTAAATCTATACCACATCCCTTCCCCCAAGGGTCAAGAATCACTGCAGAAATTGGGATAGAAAGATTTTAAGAGCCATAAGTAGTAGACAAACATCTAAAGCAAAACAGTATTTGTTGGTCATGACAGGGCTGTTGCACACAGGAGCTCATAGCGTCTGTGACTGCAAGCATAAGGCCTGTATAAGATTAAGGCAGTCAACATCTCAGCATCAACAGGAGAGGGGCTGACAAAATCCCACTCCTAGGTGAGAAGCTACTGGAATTGATAGTGCTGAGGAATGTATAGTAAGTTTTCTTAGGGATAGAGTACCAAAAAAAGCTACCCATGCTCCGGTAGATGCACTATACCCATATACATACAGACAGCACTATACCCATATACATACAGACAGCACTAAATGGACTCAGTGTGTTTAAAAAGAGAATGCATGAAGTTGAGAGAGGAAAGTGGTGGGAGGGATATCAGAAAATCTGGAGTGGAGAGAATGGAGGGGGATTTTATCAAAATATATTATATGCATGTAAGAAATTCTCAAACAATTTAAAAAAAGGAAGTATGTTCTTACTACTAATAATCACTAAGGTCTGTAAAATATTAAGCTGGCTGTGAAAATATTTTCTCAACAAAGGAGAAATGCTTATTTTTGTACTCAAATTTTGACTTAAATTGAATACTACATTTTAACAAGTAGCATGGCTTTGACTTCTCAATGATTCAATATGAAACAACATTAAAATTTGAAATTAGGACTAGAGTAGGGTTCAGTAGCAGAATGCTTGGCCTGGAATGTGCAAGACTCAAGTTCTAACCCTAGCACTAGAAAAACAGCAAAAAGGTAGCCTTTAAAAATATATTATTTAACATTTCATATCAACATCATCTAGTTTAAATGGCAAGAGTATCTTTCTAATTAAGTTTGATTTACAGTCATTTACAAATTACATGCATTTTTATGATGAGAATGAACAGAAGATGAGATAACACTGGGCTATAAAAAATCCACAAATATATATAAAACTCAAAATGAATCATGGGATATAATGCCCAAGACACTAAAACACGAGGTGCCTTTTGTGACCCCAAGTTAGAAAAAGATACAACAAAAGACCACAGTCTTCCCAGCAACTAAGAAGTAGAGGCGGGGAAATCATGGCTTTCAAACCAATCTGGCTACAGAGTAGATTATGTCTCAAAAATAAATAAATAAAACAGGCAACTACTTAGCTAGGTTTTGAAAAGTAGTCACCATATGTCTACTGAGAAATAATAAAAGCTAAACATGAATACTTATTACATATCAGTAATTGTGCTGGATACTAAGGACACATAGTGCACAAAACAGTTATGATCTCTGTCCTTGTGTTTATGATTGAATGAAATCAAAGAGATCAGGTAATAAAGAAAGACAAATGTTGTAAAAAAACAGAACTTCCAGGTACAATAATACAAACAGCAGAAGCACCAAAGAATCTCCACACTCATGAAGCAAGGCTCACAATACTGCAAGAACTGACAAGTGAGAAATACCCTACTGGGTGCACTCGAGGGGCAGAAGCAGGCGGGTCTACATAGCTAGTTCCAGGCCAGCCCTGGATACACAGGGAGACATCTTAAAAACTAATCCAAACTAAACAAAAAAGAACTATCCCAGAGGGCATGTTTATCAGTAGGTGTAATGTTTGCTCAGAACTGATATTCTGATATAGAGAATTGAGATTGAGAAGGAGAAGAGTTGGCCATAAAGCTGGAGAAATAAACCAGCACCACAAAGTGCTTATCCTCAAACAATACTAAGGTTAGATTTTCCTAACAGCCATTCAAAGACTTCAGCTAAGGAAGGGAAGGGATACAATTAAACATCTGTTTATAGCCACTGTGAAGATCATTGGTTATAATTAGAAGTTAAAGTCAGGAAGGTCTAGAGTAAGACATGATGTTGGCATGAACTGGGATCTAAGTAAGTGACTCTCACTGGAACTCAGGGAATGATTATGGGACAAGAGGTCAGGTGAGAAATCAGGTCTCATTCCTAGAGTTCTTATGGATTTCTCTACAAGAATAACAGCAGACGTACTGAAGAAGGAAATGTTAGATGAGAAATGAGTGTGGCTTTATTGGGAAGGAAAAATGAAGATAGAAGTGCTATTATAACTGAACAGAATGTCTACAAAACACATTAAGTGTAGATACTGTATATTCAGAAATAAAAATCCAGAAGCAGAGAGCCTTAGGCTATAGATACTGTAAGTCCTTTAGTAACCGAGATGATAGTGAAAAGAACATTTCATGGATAGACAAAAAGGGCCAAGGAAAAAACCTAGCAATGGAATCTAGAGTAATACAATTAAAGGGAAACTGAAAAAAGGAATTTGAATAAGTATTTTTTAAAAGGTAAGCCAGAGCATAGATGGAAATCCAGCACAGTAGAAGGTCTGAGAAGCTGCCAGGCGGTGGTGGCGAATGCCTTTAATCCCGGCACTTGGGAGGCAGAGGCAGGCGGATCTCTGTGAGTTCAAGGCCAGCCTGGTCTACAGAGTGAGATCTAGGAAAGGCTTCAAAGCTACACAAAGAAACCCTGTCTCAAAAAAAAACCAAAAAAGAAAGAAAGAAAGAAAGAAAGAAAGAAAGAAAGAAAGAAAGAAAGAAAGAAAGAAAGAAAGAAAGAAAGAAAGAAAGAAAGAAAGAAA